AAAAAAAAAAAAAAAAAAAAAAAAAAAAAAGCAGCACACCTTTGGAGAAATATTTCAGCAGCCTCTTGTGGAAAAACGGGGCTCTTTCCCCTCTATAAATAGAGGGGATATTCAGCAGATGAATACCACAACAAAATACAGAAACACAAGAGAGAAAGAGAGAAAAAGAGAGGGAACGCGGAGCAAAAGTTTTAGCTTCTGTGTGTATTTGTGTTGTGAGTTGTGAGTGAGTTTGCGAGTGTTTTTTAAACACGAGTGTTTTCTTTTCTCCTAATAAAATATCTGCAGTAGTCCGGAGACGTAGGCATTATTGGCCGAACTCCGTTATCCATTTGGTGTGTCCAATTTTTTATTTTATTTCACTTTTATAGATCCGACTTAATGGAAATGTCAGCGTATTTTTCCCAACATGTCATGACTTGAAGATTGCCGTCATCCCGAAAGGTCGCCTTTTCCTTCTAATATGAAATCATCTGTGCTGGCTGACATTTCTCAGGTAACTGCTGAAGATGAGTCTGGCATTCACACATGGGACCTTAGAAAGTTGAAGTTTCCAGTTGCAGATCTTCCTGCGCATTCACACTGGTAAAGTTTTTGCTTGAATTATTTGATCCTGGCCATTTAATGAGTGCAGTGGTTTAACATAGCTCATTTGGTTATGGCTTTTCTTTTATCGTTTATTTTTCTGTTTCTTTTTTTCCTTTTCTTATTAACTTTTATTTATTTGCTGTTTTGGTTCCTATAATCAGCAAAGCCCCTTCTAGATCTGCTTTTCTTTTCTTCACTTGTAATTGTTTCGTTATGTACTATTGTTATAGTTGTTGCCTTAGTGAGATCTTTAATTTAGTTTTATTAGTTTGTTCTCTGTGCATTAGTAAGTTTGATATGTTGTTAGGACATGGGCTGTTAAATGTAATCCAATGTATGAAGGCATTATTCTGGTACTCTATTCACCTCTCTCCTTTCCCCCCTCTTCCTATACTTGAGCGCACTTTAATAATTGAGTTTCTTTACTTTGAATTTAAAAGAATTCTAGGGGAGTTTTTATTGCTTCGTTTGAGGGCCTTGAGGATCACCAAAACATAACTTGATAAAGCACTCATAGCCATAACCTTATGACTTATTCCAAGTAGCACGTCGTCTTTTGATTCAAAGCTGTCAAGACCAAGTAAAATTTGATATTTAACTGATGGTACGAAAATTTTTTGTAGACTGCTGGAATTGACTCAGCTGTAAATTTATGGTTGGCCTCTCTACCGAGCAATGATGGTTCGGCCTCAGATAGGTCCACAATTCATTTCTTATGTTACTGGAATCATTAGTATATATTGATGTTTAGTGACTGTCCTTGTTTTGCTAGTTTGGTGGAGTCACCAGCCAAGGCAATAAAGCAATTGCTTCATTCCTACAATGACTATGAAGATGGTGTTTACAGTGAATTGTCCGACCTAATACATCTTCCGACCCTTTGCAGCTCTGTTGCTGAACCGACCATGATTTGCTTTGTTCAAGTCTTACTTGGAGTTATCGTGAACCATGAATATTTGCTTCGATGTCTTATGATGGAAGTGTAAGTTGCTAATACTCTATTCCATTGGTTCTTTTCTGTTTCCCATCAACTTCCTGATTCAGATTGTAATGAATTGATGTTCAAGTCTTGCAATGGATTTTGCATCAACAATTAGAAACTGTAAAGACATGGAGTTCTCATTTGTGGCTCTTTTGACTTATCAGTATGTTGCTTCCCATAACTCTTGTTCCCGTCGTGCAGATGGTTGTGGAATCAATAAAACCTTATCGTACAAGAAAATGAAACTGAATGTTACGTAGTGAGTGAAAATTCTTGAGCCCGAATATTTCTTGCTGACGTCGGATACTCATGAAAATACTTTCGAAACCTGAACTTTCTGAGACATATTTTACCTTACGGCAAAACTTTGCTGTTTCGAAGATGTATTTGCATTTTTTCGGCCTTGGTCTAATTTGTAGGATAGATTACTTTGTTTCTCAGTTTCAAAATGTTATTTGTCCGGATTCACCTTTACTACCAACTGAGTTGTGTAGCATTGGTAGCATTGGGCCGTCCGTTTCCTTTTTTTTTTTTTTAATATGCAAGTTGGTTGGTTGCTTTGGAAGATATGTAGGGGTGGACAGGGCCGACCCGGACCTGCAACTCGGCCTGGAACCTGCCCGGAGGTACGGGTCTTGAACTGGACCCGTGGTAATACCGGCCTGTTCCAGGTCTTGAATCTTTTTTTTTTTTTTCCTTAAACCCGCAGGTTCCGGGTCGGTTTTGGGCCAATTTCTGGTTGACATTGGTTTTTATTTTTTTTGGTTCCGGGCCTTGTTATTAGACCCGACGGTTGGGCTGGGTCGTGAACTGGCCCGATAGTTGGCCATGTCTAAAGACATGATGGCAAATGTCATATTTTATCCATTGAGTTTATGGTCCGTATATTTTATCTCCTTTTGGGGTTCTTTTTAGTTTGTCGGTGTGTTGTGGGTAGATTCTAGGTTGCAGATCCTGTGGAAGTGTAGTCCTTTCTACAAGAGTCGGTTGTTCAGCTTATTTGGCTGTGGGCTTTGGTTCCTATCGTTCGGTTAAAAAAAAAAAAAAAGTTTATGGTCCGAATATATTTGTCTTGTTTATTGTGAATTAAAGTTTTTGATGTGTAGTGTCCCAGTCTTATTGTCATCTTCTCTCCTTGTCAGATGCCAGACAGTAACCGGTGGAAAGTGATCTTTATTGGATTTAAAATACTTCATTCCTCATTGGAAAATGATTGGTGTTTTTGGTTCCTAATTTGCAGTCTAAAACTGTTATTAACACTAAATTAGGATGTTTACTATTCCTTTTGTAATCCCTCAATAAATTTTCATACTTGGCTCACGTCTCCCTATCTCGTGTACTTTCATCGTTGTCATTTGACGCGGGACTTTGATGCTGTAGTTATATATCTAAACACTCCTTTCTTATTTTCTGGGAAAAAAAAAGATTAAAATAGAGTTGTCTTGATCTTATTTGGTTATCATGTTTAACGGGACTATAACATTTCCCCATAAATGTTTAACATTTTTAGTGGCCAAAATTTACTCCTTGTATCATCATCATCATCAAAACTAAAAAGAGTGAGATAGTTTGTGGCCCATATAATATAATTTTGTATTCCCAAATAATTTCGTCGTCAAACGATTTGACCCAAAATGGATAAGAGGAGCATGATTTTCCCAGTGAAGTGACACGTCTTAATCTTATCCAAATGCCGATTCTGGGAAATAAAACGCTGAGTCACGGTTTGGTGTTTCCTCGTTCGGAGGCACGATCCAGGTGAGGTGGCGTTCGTTTTCACCAAGAACGCCGCGTCATGTTTCCTCATTGACACGTAAGTCCCTACAATTCTTCCATATTATCCAGCTATGTTTAAGAGTCGTTAACTCACCTGGTGCCGACACGTGGAGAGCAACTGTTGTAGGAGGACCAAGCCTCCTTTCTGTTCCTATCCTAAAAGTGGGGGGAAAAGGAATCCTTCAAAAACATCTTGAAAAGGGCGCCGTGGGTAGTGGTTCCTCGGTCACGCTATATATATATATATATATATTTTGGCGCACAATTTGCGAGCTTGGTTCAAGCTATTCCACAACAAAGTTTCAAATATACCCCTTCCTATTTTTATTCTTTGTCATATCGGCTTAATTGATTGTTGAATAAATAAATGTCGCTTTGACTATTTTGTTCATATTTTTTCATTTTTAACCCTTCATTTAATGTATAGTGTCTTTTCATATCTCATCTTCATTGTTTCTCATAACATCCATTAAATAGAGAGTTAATATTGATAAGAAAAAAAAAATCTTAATTAGCGTGTTATTTTTCAAAACGACAAATAATAAAAATAGGAGGGAGTATTATTTTTTGTTTTTTGGAAATTTTTTTGGAGGTGGATATGTTCTTAATTATGTCTCATTTAAAAATTAACTTATTGGCGGGAGGTAATATGAAATGGATGAGCAGGTATTAAATGATTGCAATGCAAGAACTTATATGATGTTTTAAGAGATTATAAGATCTCGAAAAGCTTATTTTTGTATTTTATAAACTCCTTATAAAAATTAACCAAATAAGTTTAATAAGATGTCTAAACATTATAAGCTCTCCCCATTATCTTTACAAATCAATTTTTCATTAATATGATTAATACATGCTACATATATATATCTATATATATACAGAGAGAGAGAGAGAGAGAGAGTCCAGAGGGTAATTTGATAAATATACTTGTCTCTCGTCCCAAAGAATTAGCCTAGCGGGTAATTTTTCATTATGATTCTCAGTTGATTGTCGAGCAGGTCAAATGAGAGTATGAAGTCAAAGAAAATAGGATGCAGAGGTATGTGGCCGAAGTGTAGTTTTTTATTACAGGATTCCCAACTTGGGAGTTGTTGTAGATACCCAAGAGGGGAGAACAACAGAGTATAGCTACTATCCAAGATCGTCTCGTCATTAGTTGATTGCAGGTCCAAGTCGGTCACACTGATGGACATGAGTGCAAGTACCTTGGTTCAGGTAATGGAGCTCGCAGAACAAGAAGACTCGAGGTCGCCGCAGGTGGAGTAGTTACAGAACCCCATAATGGAAAAAGACCTACATAAGGATCCAATTGCGAGAAGAGCCATGCAAATTTTCTTGCAGAACAACCAACTATACAAGAGATCGTTCGTAGGCCCACACTAGCGATGTGTGTCCGATCATGATGGGGAATATGTTCTCAGAGAAGTTCACGAACGATGGTATGGAGACCATATAAAGCAAGAGTTCTAGTGAGAAAAGTACTACGAGCGGACTACTTCTGGCCCGGATGAGGACTATGGCTCGAGACCTCGTCAAGAAGTGTTTGCAGTGCCAACAACACGTACCTCTTATCCACCGATCTGCTGATGAGATAATCCCCATGAGCTCACCGTTACTTTTTGACCAGTTGGGGATAGATATAGTGGGCCTCTTACCATTGGCAATCGGAAAAAGAAAGTTCATGTTGATTGCAATCGACTATTTCAGCAAATGGATCGAAGCCGAGCCCCTAGCAAGAATCACTGAAGAGAAGGTCATCGATTTCTTGTTCTAGAACATTTGTTGCAGATACGACATCTCGAGAGTACTTGTCTCTAACAACGAGGCCCAGTTCAAGGGCCAAAAGATAACGACATGGTGTAAAGACACCGACATAATACAACACCACGCCTCTGTAGTTCATCCTAAAGCAAACGAACAGGTCGAGGTCGCAAATATGTTCATACTAAACAAATTCAAAGGTCTTCTGAAAGGCACACTAGGATCACAGGTCTACAAGCTCAACGCAATCTTGTGGGCTCATAGAACAACCCCACGGGCTTCCACTAGAGAGACCTTGTTTAGTCTGGTATACGAGATGGAGATCTTTATCCCGATGGAGCCACGTATAAGTTCAGAAAGAGTGTTAGCATCCCAAGAAGAAGAGAATTTCGAGCTAAGAAAGGAAGCGCTAGACCTGGTGAGCGAGCTCCACGACCAAACTAAAGTACGCACCGAGGTCCATAAACAGAGGATGAGGTCGTCCCATGACATGAAGGTGCATTCCCGTAAGTTCCAGGTCGGCGACTTGGTTTGGCGACAAGCAGATGCACTCAAGCATGTGGGCAAGTTACGACTTATCTAGGAAGGTCGTCCTTACAAAGTATAATGAGTCTTTGAAGGTGGTGCATATGAGCTCAGAGATCCGCATGGAGAACTCTTTCCTAGACTATGGAACGTGGCACCCTCAAGAAGTATTATGCCTAAAAATGTTATGTCTCTTCTTTAAGCTTAGAGTGTTACAGTTTTCAGTTTGCATGTTTACTACATGTTTATGTTCCTACCACCAAGTTCGGTGAGAAGTAAGTTTTGATTGTTTAAAGCATGTTTATGTCTTATGCCACCAAGTTTGGTGAACAGTAAATAAGGACAAGACCTATTAATTGGCACGCTATGAGGCCTCCCAAGGTTTGTGTGTTTTATCACAGTTAAATTCGTTATCGAGTAAGAACCAATTATTGCACAATAAAGAAGTTTACTTGTTAGTGGGATCACATAAGTTCAAAGTGCTCAGTAAAATCTCTTAAGAGGGCTGAGCAGTGCAAAGTCGCAGGGCAGAACTTCAGGCTGATGAGCTCAAAGGTCCCAATGAACCAGTCGACAAGATTTTAATTCGGAGGCCTATAGTAGGCAACAAGAACAACTAGACAGAACTGCCACATGGAGGCCTACGTAAAAGATGTCGGGTAGAACTCCGAGATGCAGCTCGGAGGCCCATTTAAAGAAATGAAAAGTCCCTTCGAAAGACAGTTATACACGTTAAAAGTATAAGAGCTCAGACAAGTACAAACGAAAAGAACACAGGTCATATAATATTCAGACCAGAACATAATATTCAACGCAACTTATATGAAAATAAAGATTGTATTAAAACAACATTGTCATTACAAAAGACCCTCTTAGGTGGACAACCAAAATGAACAACAATATAAAACAAAAGAAAAACTAAGAACAAGTCTAGGGCGATGTTGAGGACGATTCTTCAGCATGGTCCTGATCAGCTCTGACGTTGAGAAGCTGAAGGGTCGTTGGCAAAGCTGACTTCGACCAAGGGTGCTCGAGGGGCTCTTTAGGATTACCTTCCTAGCCGACAGGATTGGGAAGATTCTTCGAAGCCTCATCATCATCGAAGAATCCCATGTAGCCACCAGCAGCGGTCTCCACTTGGGTCCTTGCCACACTGAGATCTAAGTACTTCTTGGCCGCGCGGCGCCACAGTGCACAACAACTCTTTCGGATTCTTAAAGAATCAATAAGTACCACTCGGTACTGCTCCAAGAATGTCCTCCTTCGATCAAAGGTCATGAAGGTAACATCTATAGCTCAGTTCTCTCAGCTGCACGGACCTCCTCAATCTCGTCCACCTTGGCCCTAACAACTTTCAGTCAGGTATTCAGATTGGTAATGGTAGCATCGCGGTGCTCGAGCTCAGTCTTAAAAGTCTCCACCTCGGCAGCAGGGTCCACGCCTGACAACTCCTCGCTCAGCATTGGGGCCCGCCCGGACAATGCCAACAATGATGAATAAATGATAATAATAAAGATAAGAATAAAAGAAACGGGATACAAAATAATGTTCAGTCAAAGAGGATACTTGAATGGTGTGATTCAAGACGTAGCCAACCCGAGCAGTTCGAGTACCATGCCAGCACTCCGTCTCTAATGGGGGGAAATCTTCACCAGGTAGGCTGCTTGCTCGGTCACATTTTTTGAAGTAGCAAACCTCGCATGCTGCTCCACGCCCCGAGCCTCCCCAAAGTCGCCAACATGTTCCTTTCCCGACCGGGTCCTCTTCCTTGAGGACTCGGTCTGTCCGAGCTCGGCACCCCTCGTGTGCGGAGGTAGTGAGAGATGCAAGAGATGTAACAATGGTCTCACCAACGACCACTTCCATGATCGCGACAGCTCTGACCCCACTCGCGCCACCCTCAGTGGCAGTCCTAGTCGCGGTTGGGCGACGACCAGTGCGGCGACTCACTGAGACATAGCCCGATCGCGCAAGTTGATAATTGCATCTGAAACAAAAAAAAAAGACATTGAGGAAGCATTAGCAAAAGTGACAAAAAGACAATGTTAAGAAGGAACTAGAGAATAAAAAAATAAAAATAAAAATAAAACTATCCAAGTCGGTATGTGGATGGTGTAAGCCTGATAGCCGAAACATTAACCTTAGTTAGGCATCGTTGGTTGAGCGAATAAGGTCGAAAGGGGCCCCATTGCAACGGGTGATCAGACTGTAATAGTGAGGATTTTGTTTCAATTTTTCACATTGGGCAAGTTTCTCGAAAAATCCAAATCGAAGAGAAGTGAAGGGCATTAGAAGGAGGTCGGACCACGGAAAACTTCACTTTCTAGATTGTAATCTTGGTGGCAAGACCTTTCAAGAAGAAGGCGTTATTCCTACTAGAAAGGTAAAGGAATTGTTCCAATGACAATATAAGAAGAACTCGCGATCAAGAATATGCATGAACACCGACTCAAGATGACGAATCTCATCATGAAACATATAGAATTTGGGGTGAGATGGTTCAAGGAGGCCTGATAGAGCTGGGCTAGCTCTACCAGATCCCTCCCTCGAAGAAAGGTCAGATCGACCACAACCTAGTCCAAAAAGAAAGAGCAATCTCCCTCAGTGGCTGGTCAAAAGATTCCCCGACCTTAGAAAACCTAATTTCCCAAGGGAATTGAAGTTCATACATGTGACAGAGGGAACTTATCCTATCAGGCGTCCAAAACGAAAGAAGATTGAATTGAGCGGCCAACTTGGGTAGGAAATCGCTTTTGGGAAGAGGCGGTTGAGGTATCATAGGACATAGTGGCTCAAAGGTTTTTGAATTACAAAGGGAAATAGTGGGGCTATGGTTTTTCTTAGCAGGGCTCGAATAAGACAGGGAAAAAAATAAAAGTATAAAAAGTAAGAGAGAAGTTAGAACGTACCCATGAAGCGAGAGAATGAAAGAGAATGTCGAGAGATCACCAAAGGAAGATCGCCAGAAAGTAGGGAACAAAGAGAGCTTTTTCGCTGAGAGTTTTGACTTGCGCCACAGAATTGTCCGCCGAGACCTCCTCCCAACATATTGCAGGCCATCAAAGGCTCAAGGAAGAGGATCGCTCGAGGTAGGGATGTTCAATCTTTCTGCGACCAAGTGTGACGTAATAGAGTCTAGTTTGCAAAGCTATTACATATTTAAGTAACATTGAAAATTTATAAAATAATTGTAAAAAATTTAATAATGCTATTCAAAATTTTAGAAGGTCTATAATAGGTGGAAAAAAATAAATTACGATGTAATCCAATACCCAAAAATTATTTATTTTCTTTTTTAAAAAAATAAATTTATTTGAATAATGGATCTCAAATAGTAAACTACAGGGACGTGTGGTGTATCATATATGTGCACACATACACCATCAATGTTCCAAATCTAGACTTGATTTTGAATAATCCAATCCCATCTTAGGATTATCATTGCAGTGCTACTACCGTGCGCTCTGGCACATCTAAGAATTTACGTTATCATTGAGTCGAACTTTTTATTTGTTTTAGGAAAGCAATGAAAATCCGTATGCATGTGAATGCAATAAATTATTTCGAATGTAGACACTTTCTTGTTACAATGTCTACAGCTTACTCGTTTACTTTCATTTTTCTCTTCCAAAACCGTTTAGTTTTAGTAACAGCCTTTCATGTGTTATTGCTGCACTTAAAACAGAGCTATGAACTCGTGACTTTGAGTCTGATTAATCATATCAACATTACTCTGTATGGGCGCACCAATCACATGCCCATGTGGAGATGATAAATATTAATTCCCCCCTAACAAAATATGTCACCACCTAAATGAACATAATTATAAAGGAAAACAATTCTACTGAGTGTTTACATAATTTATTTATAATAATAATAATAATACTAATAATAAATAAAAGGAAAAATTAAGGCTTACTATATATATATATATATATATATATTTTTTAAAAAACTTCAAGAACGATTTGAAGAATTTTTAGGCATGATTGGATAAAATAGAGTGGGTATTTGTTGAAATGTACATTATATCCAATTTTTAAATAATTACACTGAAAAAAACATATTGTCCTAATATAATATTTACTTGAAATTTATTACAAAATCCACTCTATATATAATTCTCATACTCCGCACTTTTCGGAATCATATGCCGCAAATCTTTAAGCTATGATGTTTGACTTGGATGAATTTTATTTTATTTTCAATCCAAAAGTAACTAGGTTTGGAATATACATAAATATACTCGATATTTATTATCCTTTTTAAGAGCATTAATTATGCTTTAATACTCCCTCCTATTCATTATAAATGTCGTTTTGACTTTTTTGATTCATCCATTTTGTTATGTATCTAGACATATTAATGTCTAGATACATAATAAAATGGATGAATCACAAAAGTCAAAACGACATTTATAATGAACAGGAGGTAGTATCATTTTCTATTGTCGACGTGGTTTATTTTATTATGCTTTAATATCGTTTTCTATTGTCGACATGGTTTATAAGGTAGATTTTTTCTCAATCTTTCTTTTTTCCTCTCAGATTTCTTTTAAAATTATAGCAAATTTTACTAAACTTAAATTATAAATATATTTAAATGTTAATAATTTTTTTTTTTATATAATATGTCAAATTAATCATGTTTAGATGAACTTCGATTTGATATCTATATAATACATACAAAATAAATAAACAATTTTTATTTATTTTTATAATTGAAGTGAATTACCTATTAATATTTATTTAAATAACATAAAATTATTTAATCTAAATAAAAAAATTAATATTTAAAATGTAAATAATGATATATTATTTCAAAAAAATATTAAGAAATAAAAATAATTTTGGTTATTATTATTTAATTTTAAAAATATTTTGTTTAATAAGTACTCGTGACTAGTCAACTAAAATAAAGGAATACGGATGATCCACGTGGCATGTGCAGAGTGCCCATACGGATTTAAGAATCGTGTGGGGCTCACCTACTCTCTCCCCCTCTGACCTCAGCTCACGTCACGTGTCCGATTTAATTTCAATCCAACCCCACCCCACCCCACCCCACCCCCACCCCCCTCTCATCCACCTTCATCGTTCACTCCAATCCAGTGTAGCAACTGCACACCAAAACTCCACTCCCTATATATAGCACACACACACACTACTCGGTACATGGATATATGATGTAACCACATTCTATTGTGTGTGTGTGTGTGTGTAATTGTACCGGATCACGGAACTGAGATTCCCTCCGGTGCTTTTTCCTCCTATGCCCGCGGCCCTGTTCTAGGGCGGCGATACATAAATAATCGGAAAGCTAAAAGGTGTCGGCGTACGCGTCCAAGTTTTTTCTGAAAGCTAGGGTTTCTATTTTCTTTTTATTTGTATTAGCAATTGCTTCTATCGGCTGATGGCATTCGTGTGATAAGCGGAAGTGAATATGGCGGCTGTGAGGGGTTTTACTGCGCCGTTCACCGTGAAGCTGCTGCGGAGGTCGGACGCGGCGGCGTTGGTTGCTGGCAAGAGTGGCCTGGTGGAACTGAGGAGGAAGAGGAGGAGGCGGCTGTCCGGCCTTGTCAAGTGTTGCTGTTCGGAGATCCGGGATGTTTGCTGGTCGGCTAAAAAAGATGACAAGTGTGACGAGAGGAAATTCGACATGACAAAGAGGCCTGCTCGTCGGGTTCCTGTTATGGCTTTTGCTTCGCCTCAGTAAGTTCCCTCTCTGGGTCGGGAATTATTCAGTTTCTGCTTTTCGGTTGATGATGGGAAATCATTATATTATATAAACTCATTCTGGGCAGAAGTAAAATGATACTTGATATTTTCTATTTCCCTTTCTAATTCAAATGTTCCTTGGCCTATTTGGTATGCATCATGTGTTGAGGATGTTCTATATTTTTGTTTCTTTTCCAAGGTACATTGAATCAACTTCTTTTGTCGTAGCCTAATGAAAAAATTTCTGATTTTGGCTTGTAAATGAAGCTTATTGCTCTCTATCTTGTAAATTAGTTTAGTGTGTGTGGAAGCTTGTGATATCCTTGTGATATCTAGCCTAACCTTACTTAGCATGTTGTGATGATATCTTACACAGTGAAATTACATAAACATCTTTCTTTATTCTGCCCTCCTTCTTTCTTCTGCCCGTGTATCAAACAGATAGGAGCTGCAGGATGGGAGCTAGAAACTAAGAAAATTGGAGGAAACTGGTTTTGAACTAAAAAACTACTTGGATGGTTTCTTTAACTGTTATTAGGATTATTAGGACTTATGTTTGATATAGATTATTAAGAAACAAATACTATTTATAGCAAAACAATATATCCACAACTTGCGTCTGGTTGATTTGGACTGCTCGTAATTTTCTTTTTGAGGGGCTTCGGCCACTTCTTCTGCTGCTTTACTTTGGTCTTTCATTCGCATTAACTTGAGCGGGTCTCAGTTCATCTTTTCGAAATATGTGCAATGGTAAAGAGAACAAACAGAGTGAACTTTATGACATTATCATGTACATCTGTCTTGCAGATCTCTATTTGTTTCAAAGCCAGAAAAGTTCTTCTCCCGTTGCACAAGAAATTTAGGTCCTCAATCCCGCGATTCTCCCCCTCAAAGAGGTGATATATCATTTCAATGCTTGCTTACCTTTATAAGAACCTATATGCATATGAAGTCCTGTATTTTTTACCTATCTCATTCGGTATGATCAGGTTCATGTAGTAAGTAACTCTATCTATTGGCTTTTTTGTTGGCCTGGCTGATGATTTTATGTTGATACTTAATGCTTCATCACCTGTAGATACTGGAATTGCAAATGAGAAAGACTGGGGCATTAGTCTGTTGAATGAACATGTCAATGAATCTGGCACTAATGAAGATGGAGGCACTTGGTACCGTGAAAGTGGAGAAGATCTTGGAGATAATGGTTACAGATGTAGATGGACTAGAATGGGTGGCCAGAGCAGCACTTCAGAGTGGAAAGAAATGGTATATAAATATTACACTTTTACTTTTTATTCTTTGTGGTGGAAAGCCTTCTGATTTGTTGGAGTTCCTTGAGATTTAATTCAGAGAAGAAAGACATTCACAGTATCTGCCTATATTTATCAGCAATCTTTTGTGCCTTTTCGATTACCATGTAAGGAGAGTGTATCTCAAGTTGAGGGAATGAGGATTGCATACCATGGTCTATCGCTATTTGGTCATCATATATTTGCTAGCTAAATTATTGAAGGGTTAATATATGACCTCATCTTTTTGGTCCACAAAATTTTCGAGATAGACAAACAAGTTACAGAACATCATGAAATGTGTTTTCCCTTTGAATGAGCAAACATCCACTTTATTTGGAACATGGTATTACTTGCTTTCTTTATCTTAATTTTATTGTCAGTTATTTTTTTAGGTTCTCAGTGAGCGCACATCTACTTAAGTTGATTGCTTTTCTATTTTTTCCGAACTTTATGCATTTCTTTTGGGTGAATTCTTGTAGACCAGTTCTGTTTAGAATGGAGTAATTTACCAATTTCCCAACTAATACTCAAGTTTCTGATTTATTTATTTTTAATTTTTTTTTTTGTTTTTTTTGTTTTTTATGACTAGATAGTGTGCTTATTTGGTTTTTATAACCTTATTAAGTATCATCCCAGGTGGATGCATTTAATTGGATTTGTTGATCTCCTTGACAGTGGTGGGAGAAAAGTGATTGGACTGGATACAAAGAGCTAGGTACTGGAACCCATTTGTGTTCTACATTATTGATTCTAAGTTCTCTATGCAAACTTCTCTTTAGATCCTATTAAATATTGTATTCTTTATCTATAGTACCTAGAGTTTATTATTTTGGATGGTAATAATAATTCTCTCATGAGTGCTTAATTAGAAATGTTCCCATGGATCACAGGTGTGGAAAAATCTGGAAGAAATGCAGAAGGGGATTCTTGGTGGGAAACATGGCGAGAAGTTCTTCACCAGGATGAGTGGAGGTTTTGGCTTTTGCATGCTCTTAATCATCCCCCCTCTCCTGATCGTTTTCCTTAGCAGCATATTCTGATAGTTCTAACTAATGTGTTCTATTCAAAAGCTCGGTGCAGTTATTATAGTAAAATTTTGTATACTCACAATAAAGTTCCATCTTAAACTGCAGTAATCTGGCTAGGATTGAACGAAGTGCACAGAAACAAGCAAAATCAGGAACTGAAAATGCTGGGTGGTATGAGAACTGGTAAGGCTGATTGAATAGAACATATTTAAGTAAAACCAAAAACACATGTTGTGCATATATACATATTACAAGCATCTTCTTCACTCTAGGTGGGAGAAATATGATGCAAAAGGCTGGACTGAAAAAGGGGCACATAAATATGGCAGACTGAATGAACAGTCGTGGTGGGAAAAATGGGGAGAGCGTTATGATGGAAGTGGTTCAATCCTTAAATGGTATTTCCACATCTTCTCATCCTGTTACTACAAAAGATTCTTAATATATTTTCCTTGTTATTTGCTGTTGCTTGCTTAAATATAGTTTTGGATGTGGACTGAATCTTTTTCTTTTTTTTCTTCTATACACAAACACATGTACATACCTACATACATGTATCCACTAATAGTACCTTGGATTGCTTTAAAAATGAAAATGAATTCGTAGCTCATAATATCGATATTTAAGAACCTAATGCACAGGAGTCTTGGAGTTGTGGACTCTTCAATAGCTTACTCTTGCTGTATTTATCCAGGACAGATAAATGGGCTGAGACTGAACTTGGAACAAAATGGGGAGATAAATGGGAAGAGAAGTTTTATGCTGGCATTGGATCACGTCAAGGAGAGACGTGGCATGTATCTCCCATTGGTGAAAGTATGCTATTCCAAGTTTTCTTGTGTGATAATATTGATTCCACCGAACCATTTGCTTAAAGCATATAATGGTGAAGTTTTTGCCCTTCTGATTTGGAAAATTACACAAAGTTAGAGCCAGAGCTGATTTGTGTATTTTTTTTTTTTTTTTTTTTGTTGTCATTTTTAATATTAATCTATGCAATTCTATGCTTGTTTTAAGACACAGATTGATCAACTACTGCGAGAGTCTGCATGTTGTGAGTTTTTAGAATAACTTTGTGTTCAGATCAATGATAATTTTTATTAAGCTTGATGCACGTGTTAATTTGACACCCTGGTTATACTCCTAATTGAGTTTTAGAACCTTGTTTGCTTATTTTTACTTTACATTAGCAACTAATGATTTTTGTCACAGGATGGTCAAGAACATGGGGAGAAGAACACTTCGGAAATGGGTAGGTTATGTACAAGCCTTTTTTTTTTGTTCTAACTAACAAGCATTCTGGATAATTTAATGTACTTTCTACCCTGAGTTTGTGAGTCGACAATACAATTATCCTTGATTTACGCGACAGCAAGGTGCACAAGTATGGAAAAAGCACCACGGGAGAAAGTTGGGATATTGTTGTAGATGAAGAAACATATTATGAGTAAGAAGTTTCTTCTCGGTTCAAGCATCTGACATTTTTTGTGGTTGTGCCAATAAAATGCTGGTTTTAACTTCCTCTTTTGTCAATTGAAAGGGCCGAACCACATTATGGATGGGCAGATGTAGTTGGTGACTCTAGTCAGCTACTGTCTATTGAGCCCCGAGAAAGGCCGCCTGGGGTATTTCCAGGTATTGATTTTGGATCATCTACACTGCCCCCACCCGAGCCACCGTCTTCTTCAGACTGACAAAGGATTGGTCGATAGTGTTCATGCTTTTAAGGGATCATTTTGGAAGTCGTCTCTAATTTGTTTGGAAATATCATGTGCGTGGATGCTATCGTGTTTATTCTTCATTTTATTCATTCTTTCAAGTATTTTCCCGCACTTTTATGTAAGTTGAACGTTTTTAGTTATTGGAGTGGATTTTACGTACTTTGTGAATGGTGGGTTTTCTTGTAGTTGCCTGATTTAACTATATTATAGGCCCAACTCATATACTAAATGTCTTAAATCTATATATGTCATATTCACAACTAAACGCATGCACTCATCAAAATCTTTGTAACATGATACTAGAAAATAACAAAATATGGTTGTTTTCTAGGCCAACCCCCCATACTAGTCAACTCGCCACCCCAAGATTGACTTTCAGGTAGACATGGCTACGGGCCAAACTGGCCCGTGGCCCGACCCGCGAACTGGCCCGGCCCGGCCTGGAATCGGCCTCCTAAGGGCCGGTTTGTTGATCCGGAACCGTAGGGCCACGGCTCGGTCCCGGTTTCATTTTTTTTATTTTTGTCCCGTCGGGCCGGGCCGGGTCGGGTCAAATTCTTTGTTTTTCTTAAAGGTCGGACCGGCCCGTGAACCGCCGGGCCGGTGAACCGGCGGTTCGGGCCGGTTCTATGAACCGACCCTTGGTTCTTAGCGGGCCGGTCGCGGTCCGGGTGTTGGAGGGCCCGTGGCCCGGCGGGCCGGGCCTTGGCCCGACACCTGGTCACGTCTACTTTCAGGCTAAGTTTTGCCGCTAGAATTGCGTCTGTGGGCCACACGTATGGAGAGAGAGAGAGAGTAGATTTGATATAAAATTCACATTCTTACACTGTTCTAATTAATGTTTACCCCCTTCGTAAATATGTAAATATACATACAAGGGATGTCATGTATGTAATTTTCCCTAAACTCTAGGGGCTAATAAGTTGTGGACTTTTATTGGGCTATGATTGGGGCGTTCCACAATTGATCGCGTGAATTTCGGTTCAATGTTTGGCGTACACAAATTACTCCAATGAGCTGAAAATAAACATAAAAATATCAATGTGTATGAATTCATCCAAATAATAAATAAGTCGAAAAATATAAACGTGCTAATAAATTTAGTGTATAAAAATACACTGTTAAATATCTAAAACGTGCACATTTTTTGAGCTATCACATAACATCGGACGAAATTAATAATTGCAAAGAATTCAAATATGATTTCGAATTTATATCAAGGATGTTTTAATAAATGCATAGAATTTCAAAGATGTTTATTTATAATTAAAAAATTAAATTCTAAAAAAATATTTGTGTATATTTTTTAAAATGTCTGTACAAAATGTTTTACTTTAAATTTATTTACATAATTAAATTAATTACATTAATAAATAATATTAACATAATATTTTAATTACATAAAAGAAAAAGAAGAAGAAGACTACATCTATAACATGTATAAATAATAATAATGACATTATATTACAATAAATTTTATAATAAAATAAAATGAGTATTATACGAGGAACAAGATTACGTAAAATTGTTAATTTTCTTATATCAAGGAATAAATATATATAATAAAATCAAAATTATATTATTTTAAACATATGAGCTAGATAATATATTAATTAATTTAAGGCTAGCGCTGCCAAGCTCAGATTTAATGTCCCGACAAAAAAAATGAAGTTGATGAAAAGAGGTAAAAAAATAGATGATCAAACTCTCTTAGTTTTTAGGCCTGAATGGACAAGCCCTATGGTCCACTCATTTAATATCTCCCGTGAATCGCACGAGCTACTTAATGGACAAGCTCTGTGGAAATGACTCATTTAATACTTCTGTTATGTACATCGCCCGGGCTACGTACTAGTTAATCTTTATATTGATTGCAATAATATATTATTTGCAATATCGGTTGATTGTGACCAATGAATTATATAAAACAATATTAAAACTATTAATATAACAATTACGTACAAAATTTTAAGGAGTTTAGTTATGCCATATAAAAAACAATTAACTAATTTTAACATAAAGCTTGTTTAACTAACGAAAAATAATTGTTTAAATAAATATTTTGAAAAAAGGTTTGAGAATAGAATATTGATATCTATATATATATAAAGAATTATTATTTATTAAAAATAGTAATCCAAAAATTTAGGAAATCATTTATTACATACTATTTTAAGATTTCTTTTAAAAAATTATTTAGGAATTAATTTGAAGTCTTATCCAAATTATTTAGGAAAGAAGTGCATTCCATACACGAATCCCTATAAATTAGGGATCTTTAATAAGTGACGGAAAAAAATCATTAGTAAATCTATTTTTTTTGCATTTAGTATAAATTTTTTAAAGAATCCATATATCTATATAAACAGATTTACCATTTTTAAAAAATGACAACTAAATTTTTGGTTAAACCTCTTTCTTCATTAAATACTTTCTACGTATGACAACTCTTTTTTTTTTTTCCATTAACATCATTAACTAAAATCCAATCCATATGAGTTGTTACTATACCCAACAATCGCGGCTTTACACGTGATTTTTTTTTGGAAAAAAAATTCAAATCTGCAACATATTTTTAACAAAAATATCCAAGCAATTCGTACAAAAAAATCTTACAAAAATATGTTAATTAAAACTAGAAAATCGAAATTGTTGAGAGATTTCAAATCGAACAACAGATTTTTAACAAAAAAATCCAACCAAATCGAACAAAAAAATTTCAAAATCCAACAAAAAAAAACATAATATTGAAGAATCATAAAAACCCAATAAAGCAAAAATAAAAATCCCTAACATATACAAAAAAACTAAAAGATAATAAATAAAATTTTCGGGCAAAGAAACAAATGATTCTATTTTAAGAATCATAATAATCGTTAAATAATAATACAAAATCGATCAAAAACTTAAAGATTCAAAATGAATTCTAATCTTCATTTGAGCAAGTTTAAAAAATGTGAAGAACAACCTAAGATTGATATGATAAAATACATGTATTCGAACAAAATGTATACAATAAATCTATCTAACAAACCTAAAAAGTGAAATTAATTTTAAGGTTCAGTAAAAAAACAATAAATTTCGACCAGAAAAAAATGAAAGAAATTGAATGAAAAAAAAAAAATGTTTGCGGCGAAATTAGAAGAGTAAGCTCTTGCCATCTTCTTTTATGGTTGATGGAAATTCAGTCTTGGGCTAATAAAATTCCAATTTTAATGAGCTTAGTATAAGATAATGTAATAGGTCGGCGTTATTTGAGCCGATTAAAACAAATATTGTTCTAGATAATATCAAGCCGCTTTAATATTACCACGCTATTAGATATTAAGCCCATTTAAATAGTATTAACTTATATCTTATTATAAATATTTTTTAAATTATTTTTGATTAATTATAATTTAATATATACTTTTATTTAAATGTATATCTTAATTAAAAAATTCTTTTACCTTCGCAACCATAAAAAATGAAATATAGAATTCAAAAAATATTTAAAATCTATTACTATAAAAAAGGGAGTTATTTACTTGAATTTGATAATATTTGGATTTATCTTCTAATTTGATCAGTAATTTGACAAATATTGAACATTGAATAAAACTACATGATAGATTTACATAAACCTTTGTTGATAAAAAAGGACGACATACAACAATTAAGTTTATATGTTGTGAAATATTAGGAACATATATATCGTATATAGGATACCACTGGAAAAAATATAATAAATTATGTTTAAATTGTAATTTAATCCTATTATATACCAAATTTTGTGCAATGTGTAGTATATGTCTATTATTTAAGGTATAATAATATTACTTAAATAAAAAGTATTGTGTAAAGAGAGGTTAATAGGGTGTAAAATATGAGCTCTTCCGTGCATCGCACGGGATACGCACTAGTGATTAGTTTTTTTTTTTTTTTTTTTTTT